ATCCAAGGACTTCCAGGAAGGCCCTAATCCCCCTGCATCCCCTCCCATCTCTTACCATCAGGTCCCAAGCCTTCCGAGGGCCGCCCCGGAACCCCTAGGGCTTTTATATCAGATCCTGTGTGGAGGACAGAGGAGTATTCTAAAGCACCTGTGCTGTCCCCGAGGGGAAGGCAGGGGGGAGGGAGGCAGGTTTCAGAGGCTGAGGAGGAGAGTCCTCGCAGTTTCCGAGGGCCAGCCTGCAGTGGGAACCTCCACCAGAGCTCTGGCTGCTGACTGGGACTTCGTGGCCACTGCTGCTCCCATCAAAGGAGATGAGGTTAAACCTGGGTCCACTGGTTTCAAGACCAGCGCTCCAACCACTGACATGGTCTTTTCCCCACTGATTTTCAGCTAATTTCCATAGGTCCATTTCCCTAATTGGTCAAGATCATTTTGAGTTTTAGTCCTGTCTCCCAGAGGATTAACAAAGCCACACATTTCACATCCTTTGCAAATGTAATGAGCATATCTGTGATCCCTCCATGCAGTTTGTCAGTAACTAGTAGGCCAGATGGAGCTGCAAGACTGAGCCCCTGGCTTCGCTCCCAGGCAGGGGTGCACCTTGCTCGCCTCTTGTCTCCCTCGTCTATTTGCTTTTCCATCTTTTCACACTACAGGGGTTTATTCTGGTCAACTGCCCAGGTTGGAGCTTTTCTGAATGCACGGAACAGAAGGAGCTTCTCTGCTGTCTGCATTCATGTCTCTGACTGCCCATCATTCATTCATTCATCCAACATTTACTTGCGCATATATGCCCACCAGCCTGCTCTGCAGCCAGCAGGGGGCAATGGGCCACAGGATAAATCAGTCACCATAATATAAGAAAGGAGCTGGTGCAGTAGGAAAGTGCTTTGGTGAACATGCAAAGAGGGTGAAGAGATGCGGGGGGGGGGACCAAGGAGAGATCTCTGTTCCCAAAAACAGTAATGCAAAAAATAGCAGACATTTGTTTTCAACACATCAACTCACTTTTAATTCTGAGCCTTCATCCCACTTGATTGATGGGATATTTGACTCAATCATTCTCACCACTTCCCTCCTCTCCTCCACCCGGGGCACACAGATTTCCAGGCACCCAAGCACGCAGGGGCCTTGCCACCCTTTGCTGATCCACTGCTCACTAGTCCTCATGCGTGACTTTCCAGACTCCTGCTCAGGGAAGACCCTGATTTCCAGGTTTAGGATTTTAAACACCATTTTCTGGGCAGAGGGCAGAGGAGAGGTCTCTGAGAAAAATGGATGTCATGAGCTTTGAGAAGGACAGATGATAGCAGAGTGGAATTTGGGCTGTGGAGGGAGGAGTAGGTAAGTGTTTGCATGAGAGAAGAATTAGGGCAAGATTCTTTTCTTTTTTTAATGGAGAAAACACTGCCACTTTATTAAAAAATATATATTTTTTTATTGATTTCATAGAGGAAGGGAGAGGGAGAGAGAGAAAAACATCAATGATGAGAGCGAATCATTGATCGGCTGCCTTCTGCATGCCCCCTACCGGGAACCGAGCCCGCAACCCGGGCATGTGTCCTTGACCGGAATCAAACCCAGGACCCTTCAGTTCGCAGGCCGACATTCTATCCATTGAACCAAACTGGCTAGGGCAGGGCAAGATTCTTGGCTGCTCTTTTGCCTAATATATCTTAAAACTTGATTTTGGTATTTTTTACTCACCTTCCTAAATGTATTTGCCCTGAGCCAGTCTCTGGTCTAGTTCTTCTGGGGATGGAGGGTCTAAATGGACTTGATCCAAATATCCAAAGTCCCCCTGCCTCATCCAGCCAGCCATGATGGGCTTAACCTTGTCCATGGGCCTGTTGCTGCCACCTTAGAGTTGAGAGCTCTGGGCAACACCCAATTGCCACTTCTGCAAGTCTCAGAAGCTGCTCACCTAGGCCATCAGCTGGGCTTTGGGTCAAACCTCTTGTTCCCCTCTCCCCGCAAAAGATTTTCTAAAGAAGCAGATTCTCAATGGTCTAGCCAGCCCTGCGCCAGCTCCTACCCTAACCCAGCCCTAACCTCTAGTCCATCTATGATCTGGCTTGAACGAGTATAGCACTGCTGCTGTGTGACCCTGTCTACACCTGCTGCAGCCTCAGCCAAGCCCATAGCCCACGCCCCAGCCCATGCCCCAGTTGCTTCCTTGTGCACTGTCCAGCTAGATGCCAGTCTGGCATCTGAGCACAGGGTAGCATTTTGTCTCCTGACCCCTGCAGGGAGCCACTGCTGAGCACCATAGGGTACGTAGCCCTATCCGTGCACATCTCCTCTTCTGCAGAATCAGACATTCCTGTACAAATCCTTGATGCCCAGTTCATGAGCACTGTGCTCTGTATACTGGCCAGCACATCTTTCTGCTGATCCTCTGGCCTGCCCTGTGTTAGGCTGCATTATCTAGCCCCCCCTAAGCTACTTGCCAGCCATCTGAGATGAAGTAGCCTCATAAAATGCCCACGGCTCTCCCTGCCCCAGCCCAAGCCCTCCCAAATGGAGCCAGTGGGTAGCTGGGCATCAAGCCATGCTTGATTAATGATTGACTTCTTGAATATTTAAACAAAGCTCATCTCCAGCCACTCAGTTTCAGAGATGGCCTTGTTGGACACACACACCTGCTGCCTGGTCTGTTGCCCTGGGGATTGAGCACAGGGCAAACAGCACCTTTCCAGACTCAATGGAGGAGGGGACAACAGGGAGGGAATGCTGTTGGAGGACTCTAGGGACAAGCCTGGGAAGAGGAAGGGAAGGCCTCTGCTCTTGCCCCTCCTAGCCCGTTCTTTCCAGCCTGGGTCTGCCTGCTATGGAGACAAACTGAGTTTGAACTGAGGCCCCAGGGGCTCCTGGGGAGGCTGAGAATCAGTTCCTGTCAGAGATTAGGGAGCTTTGGGGGGAAGTAGCATCACAGAGAGGAGGCACCAGGACCACAGTTGAGCTGGTGTGAGGGTGGCCAAAGATGAGACTGACTCTCTCTAGATTAAGAAGTCAGGAGCTGTGTGGCTCAGTGGTTGAGCGCTGACCTATGAACCAGAGAGGTCACGGTTTGATTCCCAGTCAGGGCACATGCCCGGGTTGCAGGCTCGAGTGCAGGAGGCAGTTGATCAGTGATTTCCTCTCATCATTGATGTTTCTATCTCTCTCTCTCCCTCTCCCTTCCTCTCTAAAATCAATAAAAAAATATTTTTAAAAAAAGAAGTCAGGGGCTCAGGGGACAGAGGCACTGGTCTGAGTTTTCCCTGGGCCCTGCCTCTGCCCAGGTTTCAAGAGGTCTTCCTAACTTGTGACCGAACCCACGCACTTCTTGCTCAACCACAGGCTTCACGGCACCTTCCTCTGATGTCTCTGTCACCACGTTGCTGAGTTGTAATGTCCTTATTTGTCCCCATTACTAGCTTTCAGCTCTATAGGGGCAGGGCACCTATCAGGACTATACCCCCGTGTAACATCTGTGGCCAGCACAGACCATGGCACATAGTGGGGACTTGGAAAATGTTTGAATGAGTGAGTGAATGAGTGTCCCACTGTCCTAGTCCCTCCTCAGAATTCAGCACCCCATAAAGTGAGCCCATGAAAAACAGCCCTACCTTTTCTCCACAGCCCCCCTGCCCCCCACCCCCCACACGGAGACAACTAGGACAACTCTGCCCCCTCCCCTCAAGGAGGCCACATTTGCAGCTCTCCCATCCTTCAGCCACAGTGGCCAATGAGTCTCCCATTGGACATTGCAGCTCTGAGTGGCAAAGGCATACCATCCCAGGACTCCAAGCCTCTCACCTGGATTCCAGCAAAACCTCATTAAGCCTCCTTGTCCATCTTCCCTTTCCCATTTGTTGCAGTTTATTTCACTGAAACATTTCCTTCATGTCTAACGATGTAAGAACTTGGTTGTCCATCAATTAAAGCTAAATGTTCACCAAAATGCCATCTGAGGGTCTTTATCAGTTCCCCTTTTCTCTAACCTCACCTCTCTCAGCCCCTTTGCACCGATTGTAACATCAGCCTTTGCCATTTGAATGCTTGCCCTCCAAGGCCTGCCTCAAAACTGGTCATTGGACCCTCGTCAAAGCTCTAAGCCTGCCAAGATGCTCAGGGAACAGCGGTCCCTTTCTCTCCCTCCTTTCTAAGAAGACTCTTTCAATAAACCTCACCCCATCTTCTTCTAGTGTACTCCTTTTCAATGGGTACCCAGACACTTTTATCAGTGGTTACTTGCTAATAGGTGGTTTTAAATCTGCTCTCCTCACAAGCAGCGCCTGTATGCTAAGAGCCCTCAGGCCTCTGAAGAAAGCACCTAAATTGCATATTTCTTGTACCCTTCAGATGTGCTCCTACCCCATTCCCCCAGGACCAGGTCTTAGGTGGGCTTGCCACTAGGAGTTCTGCATGGGCACTGGGGGTCAGTTGGAGGGCACAGCAACGGCAGGCAAGAGTTCTAACTGCACCGTTGCCAGGATCTGGCCCAGACCATCTGTGGCCTCTAACAACCTGTTCTGCCCGCCCCTTTCCCTGCCTGAGAGTCTCGCCCCAGCAAGGCAACTCCCTACTGCCCTTTGGTGTCATGAGAGGTTCCTAGAGGGGCTGAGGTCACTGGCCACTGGAACAAGAGCAGAAGGTCCTCAAAGAAGCCCTGCCCCATTCCCGGAGCCGGATTCCCGCCCGGCTCCGCCCCCTAGGAGTCATGGCCCCGCCCCTGCCCCGTGGAGTCCGGGAGAAGTTGCCCCCGCCGCTGCCTCGGGCTCCTTTCAGCACCGCGGCGCGGACAGCTCCCGGGCGGGCGCGGAGGGGAGGAGGCGCGGCGAGCCTCCCGCCGGGGAGGGAGGGTCAGGGCGGGTAGCGTACGGGAGCTGCAGGAGGCCGGGCGGGGCACGGAGGCCCGCGGCCCTCCTCGGGGGCGGCGCCGCTGAGAGTGAGGACAGGCGAAGGCGCCGGGAGCCGAGGTTCTGGTGGCTCCGGGCAGAGGCCACGGCCAGAAGATGCCGATCCGCAGGGGCCACGTCGCGCCCCAAAATACTTACCTGGACACCATCATCCGCAAGTTCGAGGGCCAGAGTGAGTGTGTGCGTCGGGCTGGGGGGACGATCTGGAGTTCTGTTTCCGTGGCAGGGGCAGTCGGACCGCTCTGCTAACTTTGAGTGGAGCAGGGTGGGGGATACCGGATGCTGAATGCAAAATCCTTTACTTTAATGTCCCCCCACACCATCTTCTCCAGCGGCCCCACTTACCTCAATGTCTGTCCTCTTCTCTTCTGGAGCACGAGTGTCAGCGCACAGCACCCGCCGCCCCACCCCCACTGAGTTATTTTCTTGCCCCCCAAGCCCTGACCTTCCCTTCTATCAATGCCCAGCTTCCGCCTCTTTACACACACACACACACACACACACACACACACACACTCACCCCTGCACACACCCACTTCCTCCAGAGGTTTCCTTGACATTCTCCTCTTCACCGCCTGACCCTGGCCCTCCCTGGTCTTTCTAGGAGCTCCCCCAGGTCTGACCCCCAGGTCACACCCTTGCTCCCTCTTCCTGGCCCTCTCCATTGTCTCCAGGAAGACTTAGGCCTCCCTCCCACTTCACGGACCCCATTATTGCCCTGGTCTTCCCACAATCCCCAGGACTGACTTTCCTTCCCCCACTTTTCAGGTCACTGTTCTGCTCCCTGATTCTGACACCCTCCCCCCATTACTCTCAGGCACCCCCATGACTCGGGCCTCCTTGGTTTTCTCGCCCTTCTCAGGCCTGACCTCTCCTTCCCTCATTCTGGTCACTGCTCTGCTCCCCCATCTAGATACCCACCCACCCCTCCCCCACTGCTGCCAAGAGTCCCTATAATTTTTCCCTCCCTGCCACCCAATTCTGGTTGCCATGGGCTTCCCCCCTCCCCTCTCCCATCCCAGGTCGAAAGTTCCTGATCGCCAATGCTCAGATGGAGAACTGCGCCATCATTTACTGCAACGATGGCTTCTGTGAACTCTTTGGCTACTCCCGAGTGGAGGTGATGCAGCGACCATGCACCTGTGACTTCCTCACCGGCCCCAATACCCCACGCAGTGCCATGACCCGCCTGGCGCAGGCCCTGCTGGGGGCTGAGGAGTGCAAGGTGGACATCCTCTACTACCGCAAGGATGGTGAGGAGCCCTCGGGCCATAGGCTCTTGATCCCTCTCTTGTTCTGCCAGAGTGGCCATGGGGAGGGCACTGACCCCAGGACTAAGGGCCTGGATAAATCTTGTTTCCTGTCTGGGCCTCAGTTTCCTCATCTGTGTGGGGAAGTGATGGGCATTGGAGGTGATGCCTTTAGAGGTCCTTTTCAGAAACAGCACTTCAGGCTGAGCCACTGACTGGTCCTGGTTCTGGGCAGAGCCTCCCACTCCACCATCCCTCCCCCATGTCCCCAGTCTCCTGGCTGTCCACTCTGTCACTGTCAGCCCCAGCTGTCAGGCAACTGGGATGGAAATTAACTTTCCCTCATCTCTGTCTGCTCTGGGGATTAGGGGAGGAGTCAAGGCCTCTGTGGCCAAGTAAGGCCTGGTGGCTGCTGGATGGGAAAGAGGGGTGGGTCTGGCTCACCAGCCCTGGCTCCTTGGAAAGAGAAGGTCCGGAGATTGGCCTGACCTGGAGGCTCATTGAGTTTGGGATGTCACTGCCAAATTTACTGCAAGCAGAACAGAAGCATAGGGCAGGGCCTGATGATGAAGACTTCTGCAGGCCTTTGAAGCCCTCCCCAGGACCTCTGAGGTTCTATTGGATGAAGCATGGGGCGGGGGGGGGGGGGGGGGAGTAGATGGGTGGGAACTAGCATCATAAAAGTCCCTTTGAAATTACCTGGACCGGTGCCTCTCCCCACCCCCCCCCCCCCCCCCCCCCCCCCCCCCCCACACACACACACACACTCAGCTGGTTCTGCATCAAAATTACCTGGGGCTTGTTTTCCAAAACACACCTTCCCTAGAGAGAGGCTGACTCAGAAGTGAGGTGAGGCCCAAACAGGCATATTTGGAAAAATCCCCCTGGTGGTTCGAATGTTCTCCTAAATTTGGGAACCACTGGCTTAGGTAAATCCTTTCACTTCATGGATGAAGAAACTGAGGCTTAAGAAAAAGAAGGGACTTGACGAGAATCCTACTGCTGGGGTCCAACCTGGGGCTGGATTCCAGGTCCAACCTGGGGCTGGATTCCAGGTCTTTGGATCCTTTTCTAGAGATATCTCTGTGCTGAGTAATCCCAAGAGGGGAGGAAGGGCCCCAACTGCCTCTGTGCTCAGAGGCAGGACTTTGGGGAGAGTCATGAGGGCCATCTGAGTGCAGACACAGGTCAGGCACCTCTGGATGGGAACTGAGCAGGACTGAAGCTTAAGTTCCAGGGGCCAGGTGTGTGTGTGTGTGGAGCACGGGTATAGCGTGAATGTGAACACGTGTGTGAGTGCATGTGTGTGTGTGTGTGTGTGTGTGTGTGTGTGTAAGTGCTTCCAGGGTGCTTCTTGGGCAGGTCCTGGCTGTCCCTGTGGCTTTCTCCTGCTGTTGCCACCCAAGTGAATGCAGAGGTAGAGATTAGGTGACTAGGAAGAATCTATCTGGCTTAGTGTGGCGGCACTCACAGGGTTAATGAAGTCAGAATATTTTAAAAAGCTGTGATCTCACCTCCTCATGTCATTGCAGGGAGGAGGTGACAGTCAGGGGAGTGAGAAGGGTCCTGGAAGAACAGGATGGGACAGTAGGAAATGAGGGGGAACAACAGGTCCTTCTCTGTCCCTCTCCTTAACCCCAGAGCTCTACCTTGGCCCCAGAGGGGTGAGGGCTGATTCTAGACACCTGGAGAAGTCAGATCAGGATTCTTAGGGTCTCCTCAGCACTTGGCATGTGATTGGGCAGGGGCAGAGGTCAAGGCCAGGCCTTGGCCCTCTGAGGTTAGAACTTAGGTCTTCAGAATCCTCCACTTATATCAGAAGGGACCCCGGCATGCACTCACCCACATATTCACGTTCATACTGATACCCATGAAAGTGGACCCCAGGGGAAAATGGAAAATTATATACCTGATGCCCCCAAATGCCAGTCTATTCCCACTTCTACTGCAAGCCCTTTCCTGTCCTGTAGTCCAAGTCTTTGACCACCTGGACCTGCCTGAAATTGGCCCAAAAAGGGAGCCCAGAAAAGGGAGCTGCTCAGTCTGCATTAGCCTAAAGGAAGGATGTGGTTCTCGGATGATTTGTTTACCTTATGGTCCACTCTGACCACATGACCTTTTTAAAAAATCATATTAAATACATCTTACAATCCTGCTAAGGGGCATCCTAATGCTGACTTCCTCTCAGTGCCCGTGACTCACATGCCCTGGGCTGACAGTAGTGCCAGGCCCTGGCCTGGGAGGCAGGCCTACAGCACTGTGGCCCCAGGAGGGGGTCACAGAGGCAGGTGGGTGGCCTTGCCTTGGTGTGGATGTCTCCCCTGGGGCCCAGTACAGCAGCTGGCAGATGACTGCCTGGTGCCTGGGAGTCTGGGAATCTGATCCAGGAGATTCCTGCTTCCAGGGAGGAACGTGGGAGGGAGGATGGAGACAGCTCAGCTGTACCCCGTGCTGATGGCTGTGAGGAGATACCAAGGGAAGTGAGCGCTAAATGGGGAGCCAGGAGAAGAGTGATTCTAGTCGACCCCAAAGTAGCAATATTCCTGCCAGCCAACCTCCCACCCCCTCACATTTACATATACATTCATTCACTCCATAAACAAACAACACCTGGGACAGCTGCTGGCCGCTGGCAAATGAGACAGACCCAAACCTGGGCAGCTCCCTCTTCTGACTTGCATGTTTACCTGAGGCCTGTGCCCTTTAGAATCCTGCCCTTTGGGCCTGACACCCCCAATGGTTTGAGTTGAGGGACATAGGACCACCAGGTACTATGGAGAGCAGGCACACCAGGTGTCCACCCACTCACCCAGCCCAAAGGCAATTTTAGCTTGTTCTGTTCCATCCACCTACGGAGGCAGGGGAGCAAGACCCTATAGTATAGCAAAATAAGGAACAGTGAGGCAAACGGCTGGGGCTGGGCTGCCCAGAAGGGTGGAGAGAGTGGCAGGAGGGGCCTGTCCTGTCCCCACACTGCCATCTCTCTCCTTCTCCATACCCTAGGCCATTCACTGCCCTGCCCGCTCCCCAGTCCCAGCGCCTCTGCCTTGAAGCTCTGCTCCACTTCCAGGCCTGGAGCAGCAGCCTGGCCTTCACTCAAACATCCCCATCCCAGACAAGCCCCGCCCCTCTCCAAGCTGTTGTGCACTGAGAGTTCAGGGATCCCTGCTCCATGTCTCCTCCCAGCCCCAGCAGGTCAGTTTCTCAGAACCCAGGCCCTCATCTGCAGAATTGGGGTCTCTGCCTCCCCACAAAAACCCACTGGGCTCCACCACGGAGACTGAACCTAATGGGCCCACTGGCTCAGTCAATGATAAGATCCCTCCATGTCAGCTTTGTGGGCTGGGAACATGGGAGCTGAACCCAGGGCCAGCCAGAGCTTCATGAGGTAGAATGCCCAACCCACCTTCCCACTTAATCCACCCCCATCTGCTCTGCTTTAATTACAGCAGAAGCAAACCTCAAGGTTAAGCCCTGAGCTGAGGCCTGAGCACAGACTTGGACCTGATGCTACATTATCTCCTAATCAGCAGCTTAGCTGCTCTCCCCACCTCTGCCCTGTAGCATCACCAACACTCATCTAGGCCTGCTCACCCTGTGGCTGCCCTTAATTTTACTTTTACCCAGCCCCCTTCCTAGTTTCCCCTGGCCAGGTTCCCGCAGGAGAGGACCCCTTTAGTGACACCCCCATGGTGTTTGCAGCCTCCAGTTTCCGCTGCCTGGTGGACGTGGTGCCCGTGAAGAATGAGGACGGAGCCGTCATCATGTTCATTCTCAACTTTGAGGATCTGGCCCAGCTCCTGGCCAAGAGCGGGAGCCGCAGCCTGTCCCAGCGCCTGTTGTCCCAGAGCTACCTGGGCTCCGGTGAGGAGGGGTGCAGGTGGTGGAGGGAGGGGTGAGTGGGGGCACCAAGTAGAGCAGCTGGTCCCTGACCCTGGCTGCTCTGACCCTGGCCCTGCTTTCAGAGGGCTCTCACGGCAGGCCCGGTACACAGGGGCCTGGCACGGGCAGGGTCAAGTACAGGACCATCAGCCAAATTCCGCAGTTCACACTCAACTTTGTGGAGTTCAACCTGGAGAAGCACCGCTCAGGCTCCACCACGGAAATTGAGATCATCGCACCCCACAAGGTGGTGGAGCGGACCCAGAATGTCACGGAGAAGGTCACCCAGGTTTGGCCTGCAGGGCAAGGCAGACCGGGTTGTGCTGGGCCGTGAGGGTGGGAGGGGCAGAGTGGAGAGGGCTCAGCTGCATGCAATAACCAACCCCCGCCTAGGCTATATGAGAAGTAGTCAAGCCCTAACTGGTTTGGCTCAATGGATAGAGCGTCGGCCTGGGAACTCAAGGGTCCCAGGTTCGATTCCGGTCAAGGGCATGTACCTTGGTTGCAGGCACATACCCAATAGGGAGTGTGCAGGAGGCAGCTGATCGATGTTTCTCTCTCATCGATGTTTCTAACTCTCTATCCCTCTCCCTTCCTCTCTGTAAGAAATCAATAAGATATATTAAAAAAAAAAAAAAAAGTAGTCAAGGTTCCCTGGTCCTCAGGACCTGTCCAGGCCCCAGACTAGCTACACACCTCAAATTCGGCTCTTTCCATGGAAGGAGCTGGCCCCAGGGAAGGTCTTCACTGGTCCAGGCTCCACAGGGCCTTCCCAGGCATCACCCCTACATCTTCACCGCCCCCAGACCCATCTCGCCAGCAGCAGCTGCCCCACTGACCACCCCATGGCCCCCACTCCAGGTCCTGTCCCTGGGTGCAGATGTGCTGCCAGAGTATAAGTTGCAGGCGCCACGCATCCACCGCGGGACCCTCCTGCACTACAGCCCCTTCAAGGCCGTATGGGACTGGCTCATCCTGCTGCTGGTCATCTACACGGCCGTCTTCACACCCTACTCAGCCGCCTTCCTGCTCAGCGACCAGGATGAGTCTCAGCGCGGGGACTGCAGCTACACCTGCAGTCCACTCACCGTGGTGGACCTCATCGTGGACATCATGTTTGTCGTGGACATTGTCATCAACTTCCGCACCACCTATGTCAACACCAACGATGAGGTGGTCAGCCACCCCCGCCGCATCGCCGTCCACTACTTCAAGGGCTGGTTCCTCATTGACATGGTGGCAGCCATCCCCTTCGACCTGCTCATCTTCCGCACTGGCTCTGATGAGGTGAGTGAACCTGCAGCCCTGGGGCCCCCCTGGCCTCACAGCCCTGGCCGCAGAGAGTACCTGGCACTGGGCACCTTTGCCAAAGCAAGTGGAGGTGGGAAGGGGGCAGACATCTCCTGTCATCTCCCAGCCCTGGAAAAGGACCACCGAGGCTGTGCCCCAGGCCTGGGTGGCCTCCCTGTGCTCCACAATTCAGCCCCTTCTGGGATGGGCATTTCTGTAGTCCCAGGTTCTCACGCTGACTTCTAAACCACACTCATCTTGGAGTTAGAAAGGGAATATGCAAGCTGCTCCTTAATGCAGCCTGACCCCTCCTCACCCCCTGAGCCCCTCCACTGTGCCAACTCCACTTCCCATAGCTGATGTGAGGGCATTTTCTAGTCCCACTCTGTCCTTTCCCCCGCCTCTTCGGGATCAGCTTTCCACTCCAATTAGCTCTGCCTTTTGTGTTCTGGTCACACACCCACCCACCCCACCCCACCCCCCAATCACCCCAGCCTGTGCAGCAGGGGCTGTCCGTCATGACTCCCTGCTCCCATGCCCACCATTCCCGAAAATCTTTCCCCAAATCCTCTCCCCTCCTCTCTACCCACAGCCCCTGCCTGGACACTGAGTGGCCTTCTTACCCATGTCTGCCCCAGCCCCACACCCGCCAGCCATACTCCTTCCACAAAGAAGCCAGAGAGAGTTTCAGATCACTCAGATGACCCTGTTCCTTATCTGGCCCTGTCCTCAGAACCTTAAGTGGCTACCCAGTGGCTTGGGATAAAAGCCACTCTCCTTCTGGAACCTCAGGCCCACAGGAACAGCCCTTGCCCATCTTCCAGGCTCATTTCTCTAGACTCTGCCATCTTCCTCACTAAGCTCCCGGCTGCAACACCACTCTTGATTTCCCACTTCTAGGCCTTTGCTCTTGCTGCTCCCTGAGCCTGGAATGCCCTTCCCCTCTCCCTCCTATCTGCCTGGAGGCCCAGCCTCATCTATCAAAACTCAGCTCATGTGTCACCTTATCTGTGCAGCCTCCCTGCTCTGCTCCTGCAGACTTGACCTCTCCTTCCTCTGTGCTCTCCCTGGGTTTCTGCCCCAGTAACTGTAACACTGCTTTTGAGCTCCTTAAGGTCCCACTCTGTGTCCCACTGCCAAGAGCCTGGCCCCAAGCAGGTTTTTCATGAGTGTTTGTTGAATGACTACGTGACCATATGTGGTCCTGAGCTCAGACTTTCAAGGGCTGACCGCTAGCCCCATGGCCCCTCCCTGCCCCTCCAGACCACAACCCTGATTGGGCTGCTGAAGACTGCTCGGCTGCTGCGGCTGGTGCGCGTGGCCAGGAAGCTGGACCGCTACTCTGAGTACGGGGCAGCCGTGCTCTTCCTGCTCATGTGCACCTTTGCGCTCATCGCGCACTGGCTGGCCTGCATTTGGTATGCCATCGGCAACGTGGAGCGGCCCTACCTGCAGCCCAAGATCGGGTGGCTGGACAGCCTGGGCGTGCAGCTTGGCAAGCGCTACAATGTCAGCGACCCTGCCTCAGGCCCCTCGGTGCAGGACAAGTATGTCACTGCCCTCTACTTCACCTTCAGCAGCCTCACCAGCGTGGGCTTCGGCAACGTCTCCCCCAACACCAACTCAGAGAAGGTCTTCTCCATCTGCGTCATGCTCATCGGCTGTGAGTGCCACCTCATGCCCCGGGCCTTACCCGTAGAGTTTGATTTTTAGTTTTGTAGTGAGACGTAACAGCCCATGGTAACAATGTGTGTGGTAAGCGGAGCCTAAGCATACAGCGCAGTGAAACGTTGCGTGTATGCACCAAGTATACACAGAATTTAACACCCTGCAGCCCTCGCTGTGTGCAGGGCCCAGTGCAAAATGAAAATGGAGAGCCTTTCCTTAAAAAAATATTACGATTTCAAGACAATGACAGCAGAAAATTAAACCAAATGTGGGGCCCTTCTTAGCACAGGTCTCATGCCTATGAAGCAGACCTGCCAGGCACTTTCCTACATGCTTATCCAAGGCCCACATTCCGTTCCAATCGCTACCCACATAAGGGCCATATTATGAACCCAGTTTACAGACCAAGAAACCAAAGGTCCTCACCTGCCAGGGGATACCCAGGGACCCAGTTCCAGTCCCGGGGCCCTTCCCGGGGCTGTGTGTGCTCAGGCTCTGCGCTGTGCTGCCGGCTTCCCAAGACGCCCGGCCTAGGAATGTGAGAGGCACTGTGGGATTTTACACGTAGATGAAGTTGTCATGTTCAGAGTATTTAGAGATGTGAAAGCCCAGAAAAACAAAAACAAGAAAGGGAAAAAAAGGATGAAAACAAGACCAAGAGTTTTCCCTTTATTATACTTTTACAGCTGAGTGAGAAAGCAAATTTGAACTAAAAAATTCCATTGCCCTAGTTCTTTCTCTCAGGAGTTTGGCCTCTGGGCCCAGGAAGATGCCAAGAGGCAGAGGGCAGAGGGAGGAGGGCAGGGAGCCCAGGGACCTCTGTCCCCCAGCTGCCCTCGTGCTGTTCTGGCCACTTCTTTTTTTTTTTTTTTTTTTTTTTTTGATTCTTTTTTTTTTTTTTTTTTATTGCTTAAAGTATTACAAAGGGTATTACATATGTGTCCATTTTATCCCCCCGCCCTAGACCGTCCCCTAGCCTCCCCTATCCCCCAATGTCTTATGTCCACTGGTTATGCTTCTATGCATGCATACAAGTCCTTTAGTTGATCTCTTACCCCCCTACCTCCTGCCCCGCAACCCTCCCCGGCCTTCCTGCTGCAGTTTGACAATCTGTTTGAGGCAGCTCTGCCTCTGTATCTATTATTGTTCAAAAGTTTATAATGGTCTCTATTATCCATGAATGAGTGAGATCATGTGGTATTTTTCCTTCATTGACTGGCTTATTTCACTTAGCATAATGCTCTCCAGTTCCATCCATGACGTTGCAAATGGTAAGAGTTCCTTCCTTTTTAGAGCAGCATAGTATTCCATCGTGTAGATGTACCACAGTTTTCTAATCCATTCATCTACTGATGGGCACTTAGGCTGTTTCCAGATCTTAGCTATGGTGAATTGTGCTGCTATGAACATAGGGGTGCATATATCCTTTCTGATTGGTGTTTCTGGTTTCTTGGGATATATTCCTAGAAGTGGGATCACAGGGTCAAATGGGAGTTCCATTTTCAGTTTTTTAAGGAAACTCCATACTGTCTTCCATAGTGGCTGCACCAGTCTGCATTCCCACCAGCAGTGCACAAGTGTTCCTTTTTCTCCACATCCTCTCCAGCACTTGTCGTTTGTTGATTTGTTGATGATAGCCAGTCTGACAGGTGTGAGATGGTACCTCATTGTTGTTTTGATTTGCATCTCTCGGATGATTAGTGACTTTGAGCATGTTTTCATATGTCTCTTGGCTTTCTGAATGTCCTCTTTTGAAAGGTGTCTATTTAGGTCCTTTGCCCATTTTTTGATTGGATTGTTTATCTTCCTTTTGTTAAGTTGTATGAGTTCCCTATAAATTTTGGAGATTAGGCCCTTATCAGATATGAGATTGGCAAATATGTTTTCCCACACAGTGGGTTTTCTTGTTGTTTGGTTGATGGTTTCTTTTGCTGTGCAGAAGCTTTTTATTTTGATGTAGTCCCATTTGTTCATTTTCTCTTTCGTTTCAAGTGCCCTAGGAGCTGTATCAGTGAAGAAATTGCTTCGGCATATGTCTGAGATTTTGTTGCCTTTGGATTCTTCTAGAATTTTTATGGTTTCCTGTCGTACATTTAAGTCCTTTATCCATTTTGAGTTTATTTTTGTGTATGGTGTAAGTTGGTGGTCTAGTTTCATTTTCTTGCATATATCTGTCCAATTTTCCCAGCACCATTTATTGAAGAGACTATCTTGGCTCCATTGTATGTTCTTGCCTCCTTTGTCAAATATTAATTGAGCATATTGGTTCGGGCCGATTTCTGGGCTCTCTATTCTATTCCATTGATCTATATGCCTATTCTTGTGTCTGGCCACTTCTGACTCAGTCCTGGACAGAGGAAGAGGGAGGCTTGAAGCAGGCCCTGGGGTGGGGTGGCCTGGTGGGGATGCAGAGGAGCTCACTCCCCGAACCCCCGGCTCCCCGCCCCAGCCCTCATGTATGCCAGCATCTTTGGCAACGTGTCCGCCATCATCCAACGCCTGTACTCGGGCACTGCCCGCTACCACACGCAGATGCTGCGAGTCAAGGAGTTCATTCGCTTCCACCAGATCCCCAACCCGCTGCGGCAGCGCCTGGAAGAGTACTTCCAGCACGCCTGGTCCTACACCAATGGCATCGACATGAACGCGGTGAGCCCGGCTGCACTGCCCGGGGTGGGATGGGCGACCCAACTCAAGTCCCCCTCTTTAAAAAAAAAAAAAATGTTTATTTCAGAGAGTAAGGAAGAGGGAAAAAGAGAGATAGAAACATCAATGATGAGACATATCCATTGATCGGCTGCCTCCTGCACACCCCCAATTGGGGACTGAGCCTGAAACCCAGGCATGAGCCTTTGACCAGAATCGAACCTGGGACCCTTCAGTCCACAGGTCAACACTTCAGTCCACTGAGCCAAACTGGCTAAGGGCTCTTTTTAATATATATATTTTATTTCAGAAAGGAAGGGAGAGGAAAAACGAGATAGAAACATCAATGATGAGAAAGAATCATTGATAGGCTGCCTCTTGCACGCCCCCTACTGGGGATCGATCCCACAACTCAGGCATGTGCCCTTGACAGGAATGGAACCCAGGACCCTTCAGGCTCACTCTCTATCCACTGAGCCAAACCAGCTAGGACAAGTCCCACTCTTGCTAATGGGGGAGACAAGGTCCCGGGCTCAGGGCGCCTCCCAAAGCCTTCCCTGTCCGCTCCCTCAGCCCCACCCCTCCCACCTCGTCTCGCAGGTGCTGAAGGGCTTCCCCGAGTACCTGCAGGCCGACATCTGCCTGCACCTGCACCGCGCGCTGCTGCAGCACTGCCCCGCCTTCCGGGGCGCTAGCAAGGGCTGCCTGCGCGCACTGGCCGTCAAGTTCAAGACGTCGCACGCGCCACCTGGGGACACACTGGTGCACTTCGGAGACGTGCTCTCCACGCTCTACTTCATCTCCCGCGGCTCCATCGAGATCCTGCGCCAGGACGTGGTCGTGGCCATCCTAGGTGGGTCAGGCGGGAAGGGTGGGGTGGGGTGGGGGCTGGAGATGTCCTGCCTGGACCACTCCATTATTGGTGATGGTGGTGGCACCTTTTATGACCAGCATGTGCTGAGCGTGTGCCAGAGAGCTTTATCCCCGGCTCGCTGAATCCTTAAAACGAACCTCTGCCATAGGCCCACTTTCCTGATAGGGAAGTTGAGGCTCAGAGAGATCATGCTGGTAAGTGGCCAAGCAGGGATTCCAGGGCAATATGTCTGGCTCAGAAGTCCAGGCAGGCAGGCTCCTACCATCTTTCACTTTGGGGGAGCACAGGGTGAGAGGGTGAGGGTTTGTCATGGGTGGAGGGGAGGGGTCTTCGGTGTGATTCGGCACAACTACAGGGAAAGCTGGACTTTGGAGGAAGGATATGAGCACTGGGTGGGGGCAGATGTGAGGCACAGCCTCTGCCCGTTACCAGCTGTGTCCATGTGACCTGGGGCAGGTCACTTCACGTTTCTGAGCCTCACAGGGTTCTCTCTTTCTCATCTTCCTCGCCTCCCCTCCCCCAAATTCAGCCACCCCAAGTCCCTGACCAGGACGTCAGCCTTGCCCTCCCTTGGTCTCCATGGCCCGGCCCTCCTCCAGCACCCCTGGGCAGGCCCCCTATGCCCACTCCTTCCCCTCTGGTCTGCCCTCAGCTGGTGTCCACCACGCGTGGGGCTCTGGTGTCTTCTCATCCTACACTCTCACCTGGGCCAGCTCCTTGCTCCCAGGGTCTCAACCTCCATCTGTGCCACAAGCACTCCCAGAACTCTGTCCTAGCCCCAATCTCTCCTTAGACCAGAATATTCCATTCCTTTCTGGGCACGGCCACCTTTCTATTCCTGAGGCAGAGCAAACAACATATCTCAACCTGAAATCTCCATCTGCCCTCAGAAGCAGCTCCTTTGGCATCCCCGTCACTGTGAACCACCCATTGCCTGAGCCAGAGACCTTCCTGCCCCCATCATCCAGGCAGCCACAGAGCCCCTCTGTCTCCCTCTCTGTCCCACACGCGTCTCCTTGTCCCTGCCTGGGCCTAGCCCTCATAGTGTCCTTCCTGGACAGGTGTCCGGAGCTCCTTTCCCATGTTCCTGCATCTGGTCTACTCCCACCCTCCATCTTCCACCTCCTGCCAGTGACCTGAAATTCACATCTGTGCATATTCCTCTTCTGTTCAAAATCTTCCACGGGTCCCCCTGGCTCACAGGACAAGAGTGGATACCTGTGGGCACAGTCTAGCTACCCTAAGTCCTGCCACCCTCCCCCTGGTACTTCCGGTTCCAGCCATGCAAGCTACTTGTCACTCTCTAAAGCTGCCTGTCGGTCACACATCCCTGCCTTTGCAAGTGCTGCAGCTCCTCTTGGGGCACCTACCTTGCACCCCTGCCTGGCAGGCTCTGGTCACTCTTCAAGGCTGAGCTCAAGCACAGGCTCCTCTCTGAGACCTTCCCTCACTGCCAGCCTATTTTAGAAGCACCGTGTGTGTGGGAGGGATAATAATTATTATTAATAATTAAGAAGCCAGTCCAATCTAAGTTTCAGTCAGAGACGTGAACTCTCATTTTGTCCTGAGTGGAAATGGACTTTAGATCATAATCCCTCATCTACTAGAAAACCATCGCTTTATAATGTTGCCCAGATTTCAAGATCCCGGGTTTCATAGGTAATCCTGGCAAGTCCCTTCTATCCTCCTCTTTCGTGAATGACCTTTGATCTTGTTCTCTTGGGGGACATGTCCTGGCCTCCATCCACCTGTGTCTGTGACCCTTGTTACAGCATGACCAGACTGAAGGGGCTGGACTTTCCTGCAGGGAGCTCAGACATCAAAGCAGTCAGCACCCAGCCCTGGGCTCTCTGCCCCCAGCCCTGACTGTAGCACTGACCACACACTGTTTTTCTTCCAGATTGCCTTTCTCCTTGGGGCCCAGTCCTCGTCAATTCTCACAACCCAGCCCCCACTTCAGTTCCTCTGTAAGCCCCCCTCCTCCCTGCTCCCCAACCACTCCTAGTAGAATGAGCCCCTCCCTCTTCTACGGCCCATAGCTCTTGGCTCTTCCCTGTTCTAAGGTCAAAGATCATTCTGTAAACTAGTTCTTGCTTACGTGCCTATCTCATGGGGATGTGAGGGTGGGACAGCATCTTATTCATGTTTACATCCCATGGCCAGCACTGTACCTGACACCAGGAGGGCCCAATACCCTCATCACATGCCCCAAGTATCAGCCCATGTCCATCCTGTGACATCTGTCGGTACCAATGCCTTGAATTGCCTCTTGCTATTCAAGGTACTTTCTCAAGCATCACATCTGCTCCTCTGGACAGCCCCGGGGGGTAGACAGGGGAGATATGGTTATACCCATTTTAGACATGTGGACACTGGGGTCCAAAGAGGGGAAGTGACTTCCCGGGCTTCCTCTGCCAGTGTCATACTGGTTACCTGTCCCCACAATGGGGAGTGGGAACACAAAGAGACAGAAGCATCAGGCCCTGCGCTGGGGGCTAGGTGCTCCTGGCCTTGGACTCCCTGCACTCTTACGTCACTGCAGCAGGCTGCGGAGAGGGGAAGAGGTTGAGCAGGGAGCCTTTAGTGTCCTTTACTGCCCACTGACCCTCAGGCTGGGGGTAGGGCAGTCCCAAAGCATGTGGAACTAGGAGGGGGCATTCTGATAGAGGGAGGCCCGGAGGATCCAGAGACAGCTGGAGCACCCACATTCTGGAAGGGGGGGTGTCTCTGCAGAGTTCAAAGGACAAGGTAAGGGCACACTCCTCATCCCCAGCCAGGACATCCAGCCTTGTCCCCAGAGCTTGATCCTGAGCAGCCGACCCCCCTGGCAGAATCCCTGGGGTGAGAGAGAGGTCATGGACAAGGGGCCCTCAGGGAAGAGCCTTAGAAGAGAGTTTGGAGCCAGATCCTAGAGAAACCCCCGCCTCTCTGGCTGACAGGAAAGAATGACATCTTTGGGGAGCCTGTTAGCCTCCACGCCCAGCCGGGCAAATCCAATGCAGACGTGCGGGCCCTGACCTACTGCGACCTGCACAAGATCCAGCGGGCAGACCTGCTGGAGGTGCTGGACATGTACCCTGCCTTCGCGGACAGCTTCTGGAGTAAGCTGGAAGTCACCTTCAACCTTCGGGACGTGAGTCTGGGCTGGGTGGGCCCGGATGGGGGGGGGGGGGGGTGGCCCTTGGCCAGCTGGTAACAGATAATGCCCAGGCAGCCTGCTGGGAGCTTGGCCTGCTTGGCCTGGGGGACCCATCTGAACACCGCCTTTTCTTTCAAACCATGCTGTGTTCTTTACCATGATTTCTTCTGTGCCTACCATGGCCTGCATAATGCTAAATATGATGATAGGTCCCAGTTATTGAGCACCTTCTATGTGCTAAGTGCTGGGCTTCTTTTACATTATCTCACTTAATCCCTTTTCTTGCAAATGCTGTTATTATCCCCATTTCCCAGATGAGGAAACTGAGGGCCAGAGAGGATACACTGACCAAAGCCATTCAGCCCCACAGTAAGCCATACATACAGTCAATGGCAGAGCCAAACTGTGGAGTCAGGTTTGTGCCACTCCCGAGCCCAGGCTTTGCCTGCCCTTTGTACCAAGCTGAGAGGGAGAGTGTGTGCCGTCCAGGGGCTCCTGGTGCCAGATCCTGGGGTGTAAAGAGTGAGGGAGCTGTCCCTCCTCTCAAGCTTATCACTCAGTGGAGGAGATTAAACAAGCCAGGAAAATAAAGAGCCACGCGGCTACATAACCAAGGAAGTCACGAGGGTGTGCAGGGTTGCCAAGGAGTGGGATGGCCAGACAAGAATGCATGGAGGCAGGGGTCTGGGATCAGCTAGTGGGAAGGAGGTGGCAGGCGTGCTTGTCAGGGGCAACAGTGGCTGAGGCCCCGGCTCTGAGCCCCTTCTCTCCCAACATAACACCCCAGCCTCAGGAGGAGGGGCTCTGCTGGCCCAGACCCCACACCCAGGATGGAGGTTGTAGTGCTGAGACAGGTTTTCTTACTAAGTACAACCCTCCCCACCTAGTGCCCTCTGCTCTTCCCCAGTCTCTCCCCTTCCCATCTGATCTGTCCAGGAGATACCTTGTAAGGCCCTGCCTTGGGGGCCCCAGCCACTAGGAGACATTAGCTGGCCCAAGTGCTCAGTGGCTGGATACCAGGGCAAGAGTGATGTGGTCTCTATGAGCATCTGCAGGCCCCTAGGGTGGCCCTAAGTGGAGGTACCAGAAGGGTGGGCTGCCGAGGGTGTTGCTGAGGACACCTCCTGGACTGGGGGTTCCAGGCCAAGTCTCCTCAAAGGAGACTCCCATTGGCCATGCTGAGGGCGGGAGCATGGAAAGGGAGGATTGGAAGAACAGCTCCCCTGCCTCCTCCTCACATCCCCTGCAAAAAAATCAGGATGCTCAAAGTAGCCTTTCCCAAGACTCTGGGGGTCTGCATGCCTCTAAGCCCCTGTTCATCCCCTGCCCACCCAGGCAGGAGGGAGCCTACAGGAAGCTGCCTGGAGTATTATGGGAGAGCCCCGCCACCTGTCACCACTTTCTCACCTAGTTGTCACAAGGGCCACAGGGGGCAAGGGGAGGGGGGGAGGGGCAAGGGAGAACCAAGAGGCCCTGTCCCAGCTTTGGTCCCTGTTACTTGATGCTCTTGTTCCCCACAAGGCAGACGGGGGTCTCCAGTCATCACCCCAACAGGCTCCAGGCAATCAGGACCACCAAGGCTTCTTCCTCAGTGACGACCAGTCAGGTGAGCAAAGCCAGTCTCCACCAGTGTCTGCCTCCCCCAGCACAAAGCCCCAGCCAGCCTCCTGAGCCTTCACAGTCCTTTCATCCTGCTTCCTCGAGGAGAGGCCTCCCCAAACCCTGGATGAGTGGAGAGGGGCTCCCTCCCTAGGCTCTGCACTGGAGGCCCTCTCACCCTTCCTCTCCATGTCCTCAGAGCCTGGGTGAGGGCTAGCTGGGTGCCTAGTGCTGTCACAAGAAGGGGAATACTGGCCATGCCTCTGGGATTCCCCAGCAAGGCTCCAGAGAAACCACTAGGTTTTAGCTTCCTGGACAGTGAGGCCAGGGCTGGATGTCCCCACCCAGCCAGCCCCCAAAGCTGGGCCCCAGGCCCCCTCCCAGGGCTACAGCCTTATGGGTCATGGATACCAGACTTCTATGGAGACAGAACCTCATACTCCTAGGCATGCAGGTGAGAAGAGCCACTCCTCCCGCCCTGTGTTCCCATTGCAGGTAGGGGAGGGGCATAGGCTCAGGTGCGGAACCAGCTAAACCAAGTTCAGGCTTTCCTTTGCCTCCTGCAGGGACAGCCCCTTCCCTGAGCCTCTCAGATGCATCTGGCCTCTGGCCTGAGCTGCTACAGCAAGTGCCCCAAAGGCCAAGGCACAGCCCTCCAGACTCTCAGGGAGACCCAGACTGCTGGTCCCGGGAGCTGGGCCCCAGGCTAGAGCAACTCCAGGCCCAGATGAACCGGTGAGTGCCGTGCAGGCCAGGTTCTGGTGGCTTCGGAGAGCAAGCCCAGCAGCAGGTGAGGCACGGATGCCCCCTCCTGGTGGTTCAGGAACCTCACGGGATGTCCTGTAAGTTTCAGAATGGCCAATCCCATTTAACAGCAGGCCTGTAAGCACAATTCCTTAGATGGCTTGTCCCAGCAAACCCTGGAACATGTCAAGGAAGCTTTCTTGAGGGAGAGGCATAACTTCCTGCAGAAACAAACTTCAAGGGCCCTTGGGAAAGGGGTGTGGCCTGTGGATAACGGAGCTGTGGTGGCAGAATTAGGGCTTAGGGGCAGCACAATCCTGGGTTCAAATGCTGACTCTGCCTCTTACCAGCAAGAGTGTGGGCAAGTTACTTAATCACTCTGTGCCTCAGTTTGCCCGTTCAGAATACCCACATCAAAGCTTCTTGATGAAGACCAAATGACATGCAGACGGCACCTGGTCACTTATTTTCAAAGTCAGGGATGTGCTAGGGGACTTTGGGCAGAGGCTATGGACTGTAGCAAGGAAATGGCTTCAGATAGGCCCCAGGCTGCCTCTCCAAGCGGCAGGAACTGCATGTAGGCTACCAAATTGGGAGCTGTCCGCAGGTCCTGAACTGCCAACCCTAACCCCAACTCTGGCCCTGATCTTGACCCTGACTGTGGCGTTCTGTCCTGTTTGGCAGGCTGGAATCCCGCCTGTCCTCAGACCTCAGCCGCATCCTGCAGCTCCTTCAGCAGCCCCTGCCCCAGGGCCACACTGGCTATATTCTGGGAGCGTCACCTCATGACCTGGCCTTGTTTCCTGTGGCCTCAGCGACTCAGAGTCCAGGAACAAGGCTGCCCCAGGGTGGCCTGCCCCCTGCACAGGTGAGCAGGTGAGGTGTTCCCCAGGGGTTTGCCTGGAGGCTGCTGCATTCCTTCCCCCACCCCTTCTTTCTTGCCCTTCTCAGGCCCCAAGCTGTGGTGACTTGGACCTACGTGAGCCGAAGCACAGGAACGCCTCCTCCAGGATGCCTCACCGGGCCATGGCCATGGACAAAACTCTGACACTGTCCTCTGAACTGGAGCATCCTGAGGGGCTCCTGTCATCCCTGGACTCACCTCTGCATCCCCTGGAGGTACAGGGACTCGTCTGTGGTCCCCGCTTCCCCTCCCTCCCGGAATACCTCGACTCTGTCCCCAAGCAGCTGGAGTTCCCAAGACATGGCTCAGATCCTGGATTTGCAGGGAGTTGGAACCACTGAACCCCAAGACAAAAGACACCATAAGGGGATTGACGGTGGGTGAGGTGAGAGTGAAGGAGTTGAGGGAGGCAGAGAGCTGCCAAGACGGACCTCTGAAAATCATTCTCTTTGAGTAGCTACAAACCGCTAACCCAGGTGACCCAAGATGGCAGAAGGGAGGAGGCTCAGGATTTGTCCCAGCCTCCAGGCCTCTGTTTAGATAGCAAGCCTGAAGGAGGGGCCAGCACCTTGGGTGTAGAGTTAGCTTACAGGGAGTGGGGTCAGTGAGGAAAAGACAAGTTTCTGATCTTCTGTGTGAGAGCCTTGCTCTGGGCCCAGTGAAATCACCTCCTGACTCACAACTATCCACTGCCTTTTAGCCCAGCACCCCAAATTGGTCAGACCTCCCCTGTGAGAGCCTGTGCCCTGGCTGGATAGGCAAGTGTCCTCTGCAGTGGACACATCAGGGCACAGTGCTCTCACCCTCAGTGGCTCAGTCCCTGATGGCTTTGTGATGACCTCTGGGACTCTAGCGGATGGTGGAGTGTATCACAGCTAATAAAGTCTGCACATTTCACCTTGGGCTGGGTGTGTAACTTACCTGAGGGTGATTATGTCCTGGACTCTGCCATGACTACAATGACTCGGTTGTCTTCTCCAAGCCCTTCTCACAAAGAGCTATGTGTTGGGGACTTGAAGGTGGCTCTGCTGGACCCAGGAGCCCTTGAACCATGGAGCTCTTAGCCAGGGTGGGGTGAAGGGGAGTGAGAGGTACTGGCTTGGTGGCCATTGGGAATCATGACAACAGCCAACACTTTCATAACAGTCACCCTGTTCAGCGTACTGTGCTGACTGCCTTCAGATATTAGTTTATTTAATCCTCTCAAAAACCCTAAGGGGTCACTGTTATTCTCCCCATTTTAGAGACGTGGGATCAAAAACAGAGAGACAGAAAACTTACACAAGCACGACTGGACTTTTGGTACCATGCTGCTTCCTGTCTAGGTGCTGGTTACATGCATGTGTTGTGAGAATATGTGCACTTTTATGTATAAAATTATACTACAATAATAATAATAATAAAAAGGAATCTTGTCCACAATAGAGGAAAAGAAGGATGTAATTTCAACCCAAATGGTTTGGCTTGAGAATATGCACAGTTAACTACCCCACTGAAATGGACTGTACCTGGTCACTGGTCTTCAGTCCTCTTTGCTCCATTATTCCCTAAAAGAATTTGAAAATGTATTTGCCTCTTTGCACATTTTTAAGTTGACATGTGAAGTATTTCATTATTAAGTTTAAACAGTTGTAAAGGATGTAATTTCCAGTGTGCTGATTATATTGACACTTTATAAGCTGTTTTATTGCTATGGATCCATTTTGATCCAAATAGCATAGCGATTTGTGAGCCAACATCATTCATTTTAAAAACACTAGAACAAGCACTTCTTTAACATCATTTATTTTTTTCTCATAATTCCATTCTCTTCTTCTCAGTTTATACTACATATAATTTATTATCCTGCTTTAAAGTCTATTATTCATAATCTCATCATAACTATTTGCAACAGATATGTAAATTGAAAATATATAGTATACATTGAAATTTTAAGATTAATTTTTATAACATTACTAAGGCTTTAAGGGTTACACTTATTAGTACAGAGTTGTTCAAAACAACATAAATATATATTAAATTTTTATAAAAACTGAAATTTTATTGGAAATGCATCTCTTTCCTCTCAGTTCATGTGTGGATGAATACCATTTTTTAAAAAATTAGAATAAGACAAGGTTCAGCAACAATTTTGTACCTATTTTTCTTTCCTTTAATAAAAACACAAAACTTAAGCACAGAGAAAACTTGTTCCCATAAAGGATCGGACTGTAGGGGGTTTGTTACATATAGCGGTGTCACTCAGTTCCTTGAATTCTTTCTGAGTTGTCTGATAACAGTCACATTTACTATTAAAAACTGTATTTAGTGATACATTACAAGTCAATATAATCCTTCTTTAATTTTGCTGAAAGCAAAGAATCCGAAACCATTTAAATGACAAAGCTCTGGACCCTTCTCCATTTCAAACTCAGGACACATAAATGTAGAGCTTGCTTAGCTTTTGCTTGGGGATCTGAGGCGGAAAAGGGATGGTAAGGAACCTAAAAAACTTATAGAGCCACGCTGGTCGGAAAGCTGCCTTATGAAAACCAGCCCTAGAATTCCTAGCATTTCTAGATGGACGGGAAGGCCTGACTGCATACGGCCCGGCCCCGAGAAACCCGGCGGGTCGGTCTGCACGCGGCGGGTCCGCTCCCCTCCCGGTTTAAAGGGGCGTTCGCAGGAGTGAGGAGAGAAAGTGCTTCCCGTTTGGCTCGCCGGACAGACTGCCAGGCCAGATGCAGCAGGCGAGCAGGCCCTCGCCTAAGGCAGCATTTTAATTTTCACTCGACAGAGTAGAGAAGCCGCTCGGAATAGCAGCTGCAGAGTGGAAGCCAAAGGAGGTCACACTAGAGGTTTCGTTCTCAGAGACTTGGCCTAGACCTTGGAAGCCTGGAGCTCCACACTCTCGCCTCTAGGCCACCCACGCCCCCATTCACCCGCACTGCGCTGTTATCTCTCTGACTGACATCTTTGTCAGCCAATGACCTTTGGGACTGAGGAAGAGCCTGCCCCCTGGGATTAAGTGGGACAAGTAATTGGAAAGACAAACATTTGCACCAATAGCGAGGAGGTTCCAAAAGCTAAAGGTACAATAGCCAATGAAGAGAAGGAATACGTCCTAAGTGACGTGTCAGGCAGCCAACGCCCGGCCCCACTGTGGGGAACGCGTGGCTTCCGTTCCGGGAGGGCGGGGCAACGTCTCAAACGGAAGGTGATTGTCGTCGGAGCCTGAGCAGGTTTGAAACTGGGGGTCGGACCCGGCGGTTGTCGTTGTCTGTCGTTGTCTGTCGCTGAGGCCCCGCTTCCGGGCTCGGCCGTCCCTGCCCACCCGGGCCCCGCCTCTCTTCGGACCCTTAGGTCCCAGGCTCGGCTCCCCGCCTGACTCGCGCCCCGCCCGCCGCGTCCCGCTGCCGACCGGGCCCGCACTGCGGCCCCGCCGCAGCCACCATGTCCCTGCACGGCAAACGGAAGGAGATCTATAAGTATGAAGCGCCCTGGACCGTCTACGCCATGAACTGGAGCGTGCGGCCTGACAAGCGCTTTCGCCTGGCGCTGGGCAGCTTCGTGGAGGAGTACAACAACAAGGTGGGCCGGGCAGGGGCTCGGAGCCCAGCGGACGGGGAGCGGGCCCCAGGAGCGCCCCCTCCGGGCCGGAACCCAGACCCCAGGACCCTCCCGCGGACTTGCCTTGGCACCACGGAGCGGTTCCTCTGAGTCTGGTCCTGAGCAGAGGGCTTCGCACTGGTTTCATTTAATCCTGGCAGCATTCCTGTGTAGTCAGGACGGTAGTTACCCCTGACCCCCCTTTTACTGATGGGGAAACTGAGGCACGATGTTGTGACGTGCCGGAGTCAGACAGCTATGTCGTGGCAGAAGCAGATCTCAAACTCGAATTTACACCCCATGCTACGCTATGTACCACTCCTACCTCCCGCCTCTCCGGCCTCATTGCTTCAGCCGTGGGGCGGAGGAGGAAAGAGGGAGTGATAACCGGGAAGGAGGATGCTCGCGCTTCAGCCGGTGGTCGTTCACTCCTGGCCGCACTGGGTGTCTATGAGGGCGGTCCGTTTCCTCTCGTCCCGCCCCCAGCCCCAGGTGCTCTTCATGGTCACCCAGGTCCCTCTGCCAGGATTGCCATTGCTGCCTCGTATCTGTCCTTTAAAAAGCGATCTCTTTTTTGGAAATCTTGGCCTGTAGCCTTGATCCCACCATTGTTGTCTGAATAGAGGAGGAGGACACTTGCCATATCTTTTCTTGGCTTCATACTAATACAGATTTGTAACCGTGAGTGGCAAGCATCCATCAATTGAGAAGCCTTCATAGACGCCCCGGTAGTAAGGGGGAAGCGTTTAAGCTGGCAGTGCAGCATACATTTATTTTTGAAAGCTGTTGAGTAAGTCAGTGGGAAGAATTTTCTTTCCTTTACCGCTTAATTTCTTTCTTTTCTTAAGAGTAAATGTTGTGATTATTAGGGATCAGAGCAATTGAAAGCCTTGGCTAGTGTGCTTAAAGCACTCCTGCTCGGTAGGCTGGTGCAAGGGGAAAAGCCAGGCAGTCCTGCGGACTCAAGGGTCCCAGGTTCAATTCTGGTCAAGGGCATGGCATGTACCTTGGTTGCGGGCACATCCCCAGTGGGGAGTGTGCAGGAAGCAGCTGATCGATGTTTCTCTCTCATCGATGTTTCTAACTCTCTATCCCTCTCCCTTCCTCTCTGTAAAAAATCAATAAAATATATTAAAAAAAAAAAAAAGCCAGGCAGTCGAGGATCGGGTCCCGTCTGACCCATTGACTAGCTGTGGGAATTGCACATGTCAGTCTTAACTATTTCTGACCCACAGTTTGTTGTAGGAAAGGTGATGGTCCCGTAAAAAGCATTTGAACATTGTAAGTTTGTTTACATTTCTTCAGAAGCACAGCTGTTTCTCTAGGGTTATGTTTTAACTTCTTTGGAATCCCCTTGGAGAAACTGATAAAAGCGAGGGACTCTATTGCCCTGAAGTTACACAGATACCATGGAGTGCACACTGATCTGGAAGTCCACCCGTTACCCACAGAAACCAGAAAGTCCTGAGCAAGACATAACTTTCTTTTCTATGTTTCCTCTTTCTTCCTTATTGTGGCCATAGTGGACAGCAGAGCTGGGAATGGAATTCATGGTCCTGATGTTGAAACCATGTTAGTAAAATTAAGAACACTAGAGCCCTGACCGGTTTGGCTCAGTGGATAGAGCATCGGCCTGCGGACTGGAGGGTCCCAGGTTCGATTCTGGTCAAGGGGCATGTACCTTGGTTGCGGGCACATCCCCAGTGGGAGGTGTGCAGGAGGCAGCTGATCAATGTTTCTGGCTCTCTATTCCTCTCCTTTCCTCTCTGTAAAGAATCAATAAAATATATATATATAAAAAAGAACACTAGAACTATTGTTTAAGAATACATGTTTTTTTTTAAAAAAAGTAAAATAATGTCTTTTAAAGGGTTTGAGTCTTCATACAAATAGATGTTTTTTTCCTTGCAAGTTCTTCCTTGCAAGTTAACTTGAGTAAGCAGTAGAAGTTACATTTTTAAGAAAGACAAACTGAGCCACAGTCTGCTGGTGGGATTAGTGGAGTAATTGGTGCCAAACCTCAGTTGCAGGAATTTTACCTCAAAGTTTGTCCCTTCATTTAGCAACTGTATGAGAGCTCCCTTGTGCCAGGCACAAAGGCATTGTGGCCTTAGTAGTGTAATGCAAACTCATAATCCCATTTATTATTCACTTTTTATTACTTAAAATTATTTTTGTGCCCCCACCTGCGTAAGTCAGGGTTTTTAATGTGTTATATGCACACCATGGACTTCTTTGGCAATCTGCAATCAAGAGGCCTTTTTTTATAATTATGTTTTCAAATGCATAAAATATATAGGACTAAGAAGGAAACCAGTTATATTGAACTACAGTTATCAAAAACATTTTTTTAAAAGATGGTGATATATGACCTGGCTGGTGTGGCTCAGTTGGTTGAGAGTCGTCCCATGCATTGAAAGGTCACCAGTTCCATTCCTGGTCAGGGCACATGCCCAGGTTTCAGGTTCAGTCCTGTGTTGGTGCGTGCAGGGGGCAACCCATCTATGTTTCTCTCTCCCTCTCCCTTCTTCTCTCTCTCAAAAAAATAAAGGGGTGATATAGTAATAGTACTTTTATATTAACTCATTAAATTACACCATTCAGTGTAATTATTACTGTGCTTTTGAAGTAATGAAGGTAAATAGCATTTCAAGATATTTAATAACTGCAATGTGATATTTTCAAAATCAGTTATTTATATTTATGACAAAGTCACTGATTCATGCCGCTTTGAAGGAAATGCTAAAGTTCAGCTAAAGGTTAGTGAAAATATGAATGTAAATTTCCAATTCAAGTTCATGGACCCCAAGTTAAAAAATCCTGCTGTAGAGAATCTCTGCTAGGGACTGGTGGACGGTAAATACCACTTTAAAGCTCTGATTCTCAGGCTTAGTTTTGTGGAAACTTGACATGGAGGTACCAGATTTCATAATTTGCAGGAATTTAAAAATTATTGGTTGAAATTTTCAGACCTTTGGTTTCTGCTTGCCCTCGACAATGATTGCCAGCGAGACAAAATAAATGGACAAAGCAAATTAGCATTGATGAAAAGCCCAGAAATGGTCTTTTTTACTGTGGAATCATTGACGATAAGAAACCATGATTATGCTTTTTAAAGTTTGTATTCATGTAATCATGTTTTCCTATAGTAAAATTATTCCAATGTTTCTCTCTCACATCAATGTTTTGAGAAAATTAGTTAGCATTTCAAGAACAACTTGACTTTCAGATGTTCTAACATCAGAATAAATTGGGGAATCGTTGCAGAGTAAAGAACAGGATAATGTCAGTCACACCTGAAATAAAAAGTTCCATTATCAGAAATTGTGTTTGTTTTTATCCTCACCAAGGATATATTTTTACTGATCTGAGAGAGAGAGAGAGAGAGAGAGAGAGAGAGAGAGAGAGAGAGAGAAAGGATGTCTCTCTCGCTTTCTCTCAATCCTCATTCTTTTGCTCATTAATTCAACAGATATGTATTGAACACACGCATATATGTTTTAGGCATAATGATGCTTGGTAACTGTGTGGTCTTCATTAGCAGATATGAGATTGGCAGCAATAAAGACACTGTGTTTTAGTACATGTAGGTATCTTTGATTGATATTTAGACTTTTGGAAGTTTTGCAGTGTTCCATCAGTCCCTGGCAAGACTGTCTAGGGGAATTTAAAACATAAAATTCTTCCGGTTTTAACTTCCTCCTTTCTTTTTTTCTGGACAGTGAGAGGACTAATTCCTCCATAGGACCAACTGGATAAAAGTGCTGCTGCTTTATTGCTTTTTGCCATAATTTGGCTCATACAGATAATACTGGAGATGCTATGATTTGAACAAGGAATGAATCCATGTTCTGTAGATGGTCTGACCTGCCTGAGGCTGTGATGCCTCATTGGTCAGCCTCTGTGCCAGGAGATGAAGGAGTGCTGTGTCAGAATTCATCTGAGTTTGACAAGGCAGGCTCTCTACAGACATTGATCAGCAATAGTCAGAAATAGGCTGGAAGGGACGACAAGTGGAAAAGACCAAGAAAAGCTGCTTTATTCTCTCAGAATTGTGCTTTAGCTGATTTTGGTTATATTAACAATTTGGGGGAAATGTTTCACTGACTGGAGTGGTATATTGATTTGGGTAACTTGGGGCTTTTTTTTTTAATCACATGTATAATATGTATTAACCTTCATGTTCTAGTACTAGCACTCTGTAATAGATGGAATACACAATTTTCTCCCTGAGGAAGCTTATATTATTAACAAGATAGATATGACATCTTTTAATTTTTGAAAAATATAAGGTATGAGTAATGTGAATAATAATTTATGTTGTTATTCATGTAAGCAATAAAAGTAAAAGTGAAGATGTGGTCATGCCTTCAAGGAGTAAATATTTCATTTTGCATATCTGCTCCTTAGGAGACATTTGACATAGTAAATCCACAGTGTAAAAATAAGTAAAAATAATCTTGCTTCATGGCCTTTTTTTTTTTTTTTTTTTTTTTTAGGGGCATTTGTTTCACATGTTGGTGTAAAGTGTTGTGAAACAACAGATTCAGAAAGAGAGTGGAGATGGGAAGTATAAGAAGTTTAGCAGGAGGGTGGGGAAAAAGGTAGAGGGGTAACTTAAATGTTGATAATAAGATGATTAAAGTCAGATAATTTTTCCTTATGTTCTGACAAGGATGAGGAAGGATGGCAGTATGATGCAGAGCAAATGGGATGGGGAAGATGCTGAGAAAGGGTATCTATGGCTGCAGTTTTAAACTCAAAAGAGAGCAGTTCTCCAGAATAGGATTTTGATGGGCAAAATCAATAATCCTTTGTTTGGGAGAGTGAAAAGAGGCTGCACAGGCTGGCAGCGGGAGCTTCTTCAGACCCCAGTTGACACTTCGGCAAGAGGGGAGCTAAACTTTACAAGAAGACACATAGATGTGCTATCTTCTCTAGAAGCATTAGATGAGGCAGGTTGAATGAGAGACTAAATTGTG